AGGAGGAGGAGGAGGGGGAAGAGAAGGAGGAGGGAGGAGGAGGAGGAGGAGGAGGAGGGAGGAGAGAAGGAGGAGGAGGAGGGAGGAGGAGGAGGAGAGAGAGGAGGAGGAAGAGGACCAGGAGGAGGAGTAGGAGGAGGAGGAGGAGAAGGAGGGAGAGGAGGGAGAGTGGGAGGAGGAGCGAGGAGGAGGGAGGGCAGGGAGAGGAGGAGGAGGAGGAGGAGGAGGAGGACCAGGAGCAGGAGGAGGAGGAGGACCAGGAGGAGGAGGAGGAGGAGGGAGGGCGCGGCTCCGGGGATCCGCAGCAAGGGGGCCCCTCAACCCTCTGGGAGAGAGGGCGGGTTTTTGGGCGTGCTGCGACGGCGCCACGGAGCAGGGCGTCTTCCCCGCAACGCGCGGGGGCACGGCCCTCGGGATCCGCAACAAGAGGGCCCCCCAACCTAGAGGAAAGGGAACCATGCACATGCACCGATTCTGGCCAGGCCCTTCCTGAGCCCAGGATCGGCGCATACGCCCTGCACCCTGGCCGGGAAGGCATGTGCACCGATCCTGGGTCCAGGATGGGCCTTGCCAGGATCGGTGCATGCGTACAGCTCTCTTCGCCCGGTAACCCTCTGGGCCTCTGGGGGAGGGCGTTGTGGGACGCTGTGCAGAGGCGCCGTGGAGCACGGCGTCTGCCCTTCGACGCGCGGGGGCACGGCCCACGGGGATCCGCAACAGGAGGGCCCCCAACCCTCCAGGAGAGAGGACGCTTCGGGACGTTTTGCGAAGCGCAGCGTGCGTGGGATCGGGGACAAAGGAGGGGAGAGGAGAGAGAGAAAGGCCCAGCACCCCGAGGCTCCCGCCAGGGAGCCTCCCCCCCCGCAGCCATCTCTGCCCACGAGGGGGCGGAGAGGGGCGCCTCCAGAGGCGGGGAGGGCGGCGGGCTCTGCTCCCTGAGGGCAGCCACTGCTGCCTCCGAGGCGGCGGCCGACAGAACGCGAGCGGCGAGCGTGCCCTTGTTGAGAGAGGACACATGGTAGGAGCGCCGGAGACACTACGGGGCTCTTTTTGCAGAGGCATCTGACCGAACAGCCCAGATCCATCATCCCTGGTGGGAATACGGGGGCCTAATGTAGGCCACGCCTTCCTCGTGCTATTCGAATTATGGGTTCTTTTGCTCTCGATGGCCTGGGGTCCCAATCAACGCCGACGGCCAAGTCCGCAAAAACGGCTCCTCGTCGCCGCGACGACGTTGAGAGGCCCACGCCGCTTCGTATGTCCAGCATGCGTGGCGGCTGGCGGTGGAATTGGCGGAGTACCGCCAGCGTTTCGGCAACACACTATATCGCAACACCTCGCGTAAGAAAGCAAAAACCATACCGCCAGTGCAGCAAATCTCATTGTCGCCCTCTCGAAGTGCAAGAACTGAATCGCACCAAAACAAAACAGCGTAGAACAACGGGTGAATGATTGTCGCCACCAGCCAGCTCAACGGGAAACAACTACACATTGGATGCGCTGTTGAATCCCGACGAAACTGTGAAAACAAGGCGGCAATATTCAGACCCAAAGCTGACGGATTCCCGCCAATCGCTACCACTGCCAGCCTGTAACGGACTGCCTGATGCACCACTGCTGAACTTGATCCAACATAACTACGGACCGTCTGGGTGCTATATTTAAGAGCCGTGGGAGGTCCGAGGAAGGGGACAAAACCAGGAATCTACAGGGCAGGTCCCGGCCACGGACCCCGGGCCTGGAATCTCTTATATTTGTGAATTTCTATGTGTATATCAGAGTGAGGGGGCGGAGCGGTCATTCACTGTCCCTGGGTGCGTGGCTGAAGTGGGATTCCGCGGTGCGGATTCGTGTTGTTGTTGTTGTTGTTGTTGGTTGTTGTTGTTGTTGTTGGTGGTGGTGTTGGTGGTGGTGGTTGTTGTTGTTGAACATTATTACTTCTAAAAAATAATTATTGTTGGGACCCCTGGTGCGCGGCCCCCTCGCCGCGCCTAGGCCGCAGCCACATTTTCATTATTTTCGTGAGGAAGTCTCAGGCAAAACGTGGGTGTCCGGATCCGGTTGTTTTGTTGTCCCCCGTTTTCCCTTGCAAAAAAAAAGCTAAAGTGGACATTTCTTGTTCTAACATAACCAAACTTCAAGAATCCCTTGCAAAAAATAACGTAAAGTGGACATTCGCGCGCGCAAGACGAAATCCTTCCAAAACCTTGGTTTTCGTAGCGGTTTTAACATAAAAACATCAAAAAACAACTGTTTTTTTTTTTTTTCAAAAAAATGTCAAAATTTCATCCCGCGCGCTCTTGCGGATTCGTAGGAAACCCAACACTTTTTAAACATTTCTGTCAAATGGGCTTTTCCGAGCAACTTGTTCACGTGCTTCGAACTTCTGCAACAACCGTTGCGCACCTGCCAGGGCCATCATCCCTGTCAAATAATACCATGCGGGACACATTCGTTTTTTCTTCGCGCGCGCACGCCGTCGTCGTCGGCCGCGGGGCCCTCAATAGTAGCCACGGTCGTCCGCATGCCACGAAGTGAAGTGTCCGAACGTCATAGGGCGGGAAGCTGGGTGTGGGTGGTGGCGAAGAGTCGTTTGGAAATTTGGTAGAGCTTGAACCGGCCCCCCCACAAAGTGGGGGTATTGCCCGCCTCCTATGAAAACCCTGGCACTGGTGAGAACGGAGTGTCCCCACGTGCTAGTAATTGTTGTTGTTGTTGTTGTTGTTGTTGTTGTTGTTGTTGTTGTTGTTGTTGTTGTTGTTGTTGTTGTTGTTGTTGTTGTTGTTGTTTGTTGTCGTCGTCCCACCCGCAACCCGCCCCGCGACCCACCCGCGACCCACCCCACGACCCACCCGCGACCCACCCGCGACCCACCCGCGACCCACCCCGCGACCCACCCCGCGACCCACCCCGCGACCCACCCGCGACCCACCCGCGACCCACCCGCGACCCACCCGCGACCCACCCGCGACCCACCCCGCGACCCACCCGCGACCCACCCGCGACCCACCCGCGACCCACCCGCGACCCACCCCGCGACCCACCCCGCGACCCGCCCCGCGACCCACCCGCGACCCACCCGCGACCCACCCGCGACCCACCCCGCGACCCACCCGCGACCCACCTTCGACCCAAACCACGCTCAAGGTACAAACCAACATTTTCGGCGCCTGCGGCGGGTTTTTTTTGCATTCCTTCCAGGTAAAGAGCCCGCGACCCACCCCGCGACCAACCTGCGACCCAAACCACATTCAGAGTACAAACCACATTTTTCGGCGCCTGCGGCGGGCATCTTTTGCATTCGTCCTAGGTGGAGAGACCGCGGCCAACCCGCGACCACGTTCAGGGTACAAACCAAATTGTTCGGCGCCTGCGGCGGGCATCTTTTGCATTCGTTCCCGGTGGGGAATCCGCGGCCCACCCGCGACCCAAACCACGTTCAGTGTACAAACCAAATTTTTCGGCGCCTGCGGCGGGCTGCTTTTGCAAGAGGAGGAGGAGGAGGAGGAGGAAGAGGAGGAGGAGGAGGGGGAGGAGGAGGAGGAGGAGGAAGGAGACGACGACGATGACGTCTACGACGACGTCGACGAAAAGGAGGAGGGGGGAGGATCGGGAGGGGTGGTGGTGGTGGTCACTGCATAAGGGAAACAGAATCCCGAGCAGAGCAACACGCACCACGACCACGACGACGCCGACGACGACGGAGACGAGGCGCGCTTACGATCCGCACCGAAGCACGGATTTGGGAAAGGGCCCACCCTGCAGGTTCGGTTAAACAGCACATCGTTGAGCGGTGCTGCAGCCTCCCCTGAGCACAGGCCCCCCCAGAGCATCAGCCAGACAAGTCGGGTTTGCACCCTCATGCCTTGCTGGACTCTGGGCGCGTTTCGGCACCCTCTCCCCCAACCTCGTCAGGGCCACCGACAAGGGAGAGGGCGGCGGTGGCCGACGCGTCCCCGAGCTAAGAAACTCAAAGCGCCGCGGCTCAGAGAGCCTGGAAGACAGACAGACAGACGGACGGACGGACAGACGGGCTGCTTTTGCAGGAGGAGGAGGAGGAAGAGGAGGAAGGAGGAGAGGAGGGGGAGGAGGAGGAGGAGGAGGAGGAGGAGGAAGGAGACGACGACGACGACGTCTACGACGACGACGACGAAAAGGAGGAGGGGGAGGATCGGGAGGGGGGGAAGGAGGACGACGAGGAGGAACATGACGACAATGGGAGGACGATGATGGAAGGACGAGGGGGGGGATAGGGAGGACGAGGAAGAAGAGGAGGAGGAGGAGGAGAAGGACGAGGTGGAGGAGGAGGACGACGATGACGATGAGGACGAGGACGAGTACGAGGAAGAGGACAAGGAGGAGGCGGAGGAGGAGGAGGAGGAGGAGAGCGCCATCGACAAGGAAGGTGGGGGCCACGAGGTCAGCCGGCTTGACGACGCCCGCGTCGCCCGCGCCCGCCCCCTCACTCTTATCCGCAATTGAGGGGTACTACGTATGCATATATATAGATATAGATATAGGTATGTGGATATACACATATATGTGTGTGTGCGTGTGTATGTGTGTGTGCGTGCGTGTGCGTGTGTGTGCGTGTGTGTGTGTGTGTGTGTGTGTGTGTGTGTGTGTGTGTGTGTGTGTGTGTGTGTGTGTGTGTGTGTGTGTGTGTGTGTGTGTGTGTGTGTGTGTGTGTGTGTGTGTGTGTGTGTGTGTGCGTGCTCCGTTAAGTTTCGCGGGGCCTACTCCGATATAGGAGGGTGGGCTGGTGGGGCCGAGATACCGTGGCCTGGGTGGGGATGGGGATCGGCTGCACGATCGGGTCGGGCATGGCCTCCCACAGGCGGATTGTGGACGACACGTAAAGCAAACCAACAAACGATCCAACATAGCAAACAAATGCTAGACAAATCGTTCCCATACTATATTTTGACTAGTTTTGAATACTCCTCCTGTAGAGGGACAGGCCCGACTTAACTGTAGGATGCCGACACGACCAGGCCCGCCTTGAGCAGGCTGTACTTCTCGTTGCCCAGGATGCTCGAGGGCAGCTGGTAGAAGGAGCACACGTCGTTCACTTCTCCTTGCCCCGCCCACGGGGCGCGGCGAGAGCAGATCAGGGTCCAGGAGCACGGGGATGGCCGTCCAGCGCGGCCAACAAAGAGGCACATCTCTTGATGGGTCCATGTTCCACCACCACTACCATACGTAGGAGGAGGAGGAGGAGGAGGAGGAGGAGGAGGAGGAGGAGGAGGAGGCGGACCTCCTCATCCTACATGTGGTAGTAGTGGTGAAACATTTGCCCATCATCTCTGCGACCTCGAGCGCGCGCGACGCCTGGGCGCCACAGCGGATCGCCAGCCCCGAAGCGCCGCCCCTGCCTCTGCGGTGGGGACCTCGACCCGGGCCCCCAAGCCGATGCACCTGTGGCCCCTGTAGGCGCGCCGAGCCCTGCAAAAAGGATGCAGCAGCGAGCGGCAGCGCACACGACCCGCGAGGGGTGGCAAGCGTCTCACGGAGGGGCTGGCAGTACCCACAGGCGCCCCAAGCACACACACAAATAGTCCCACCAGCCCTTTCGGCTAAGATGGCCCAACGAGTTCTTCTTTTCCTCTTCCGAAGGCCCTCGTCCCTCCGGGGCGACTTACCTGCCTCCCCTCTCCCTGAAGTTGCTTGGGGACTGTCGCGGAATGTCAGGGAGCCCAAGATGGCTCCTAGATGGCCCAAGATAGCCGACGATGGTTCAAGAAAGCTTCCGACATACCTCCAAGAGGCCCGCTGAGGGCCACAAGACGGTTACAAGTGCTCTCCGAGCCCCCTCGGCAACCCCCAAGAGGCAAACATCCTACAAACACCTAAGTATGGAAAATCAATGTGGCGTGCCTTCTCGCCGTTTCGCTTCCAATGCGCCCTTGAGGCCTGATGGCCCCAAGATTTCTCAAGAGAGGCCCAACATGGGCCTAGGAGGCCCCTGAGACCCCCAAGAGCGCCTAAGAGCGAGCCAACAGTGCCCCAAGAGGGCCCCAAGATGCGATGTTGCTGGTCCCGAGGGGGAGGGGGAGGCCAAGCGAGGACCCCCCTCCCTTTTATAGATGGCCTCCAAGATGGCGCCAGGAGGCCCTCCAGCGCTCCCAAGGGATCCCCGAGATGGCTTCAGGAGGGCCCCAAGAGGGCCCCAAGACCCACCAAAAGAGCCTCAAGAGGACTTTAAGATCCCCCAAAAGAGTCCCAAGGGGGCTCAAAGAGGGGATTTGGATGGCTCTGTCCTCGTACTCCTCCTCCTATTCCTCCTCCTCCTCCTCCTCCTCCTCCTCCTCCTCGTCCCGCCCTTGCCCTCATCGTTTGACTGTTCCTTTTCCTCTTCCTCGTCGTCATGGAGTCGTCGTTGTCTTCCTCCTCCTCCTCCTCCTGATCTTACTCCTCCTTCCTTCGCCCCCGAGCGGGCCCCAGGAATGGCCCGAAGAGGCCCTCCAAGGCCCCCCCCTTGCTCCCAAAGATGTTTCTGTCCACCCTGGTTGCCCGCTTTGTTTCACTACATGTGTCTCTTCGTCCATGATCCGGTAAACTCTCATGGGCAAACATTTTGCATGGGCTGCTGGGGATACGCGAAGCGTGAAGACCTACCTCCAACAAGCTGCCACAAGGTTGCGGACAGCCGCTAAGTCTGGCCAGCAGCTCAAAACCCGGGGTCAGCGATTCGGCTACACGCAAGAGTGACCCTGAGCAAGAGTGACCTTCGGTGCGCGGACTAAGGGGGCGCAAGTTGGCCTAGTTCAAGCGTGAAAGTGGCCTCACTTGCATCGCGCTCAGCAATAGGGAGGGCCCGATGAGCCCACACAAAGGGTCACTCTTATGTGTAGTCGAGCCACGGCCTTGTCGCGAACACTGGCTGGCCGCGTAGAAGCCCCCAGACCCATCAGCGGAGGAAGCGGAAGGGAAGTCGGCTCCACCGTGGCCCTCACGCGGGGGTCTACCAACAGGCCTCGGCTGCCTTTTCGGAGGGCCGCTTCGCCCAGGGACTTCTGCGCCGGTACCGCTGCGCCCAGACCAGTTCGCCCCGGATGCGGGCAAGATTCATGTCCAAATCCAGTGCCTCGTGGACTTTTTTGGGAAGCGGCGCCACAAGGCCGAGGCGCACTGGATATGGATACAAATCGAGCCTCTCTCGAGAGCGAGCTTGAGTGTCAACAACGCGCAAGGAAAGGGGGGGGCGTCTGGGGCCGCCCTCTGCCTTGAGAAGGGGGCCGACCAGCAGGTGGCAGACCGGCGGCGCACGCTGACCGCCAGCCTCCGACCACGCTCCAACGCTGCACACAAAAATCCACTGGACTGCTGCTGGTGAGTGTTGCTTCGTTGGTCCAGCGCGCTGCTACTGGAGAGTCAAATCTATCCATATCCAGTGCGCCTCGGGCTTCTTGGGAAGGGAGCCCGAAACTCCATACTGCAGTGGATATAGACACAAGTATTGCCCGCCCCGGACCGCTTCCCCCGCGGACCGCAGACCCTCCCGCGGCATCGCTCCGTCCGGACCACACAGTCGCTCCAAGACGCAAGACGGCCCAGGAGGAGGAGGAGGAGGAGGAGGAGGAGGAGGAGGAGGAGGAGGAGGGGGGGGGAGGGGGAGAGGAGGAGGAGGGGATGTTGAGGGAGGAGGAGGAGAGGAGGAGTAGGTGGGGAGGAGGAGGAGGAAGGAGGAGGAGGAGGAGGGCATCGCCAGACCGCTCCGCCCCAGACTGGCTCTTCGCCAAGGCCACCGAGCCCGTGAGCGCCCCAGCGCCGGGCCTGGCCGTCCGGCGTCGCCCGCCCGACTTCTGGCCGTCGGAAGCCCTGGCCCGACTTCGGCCACACGCAAGGAGCGAGCTCCTCCTCCTCCCCCTCCTCCTCCTCCTCCTCCTCCTCCTCCTCCTCCTCCTCCTCCTCCTCCTCCTCCTCCTCCCCCCCTTTGGTGGGGACCTTTGGTGCGCGGCTTCTGGGGGGCCGCGGGGTGGCCAACCACGAGCGCGCAAGACGCCACTGCCGCCTCGAGATCGGCGGTCGGGGGGCCCATCGGGCTCGCACCCGAGGTCACTCCGGCGAAAGGTCACTCTTACGTCCAATCGACAGATGGCGCGCCCGCTCGGGGTCCTCTTGCCCGCCGGCCCGCCGAGGAGGGCCCGCCGGCCCGACCCGCCCGTCCGGGGCCGTCCAGCTGCCAGCAGCAGCAACAGCAGGAATCGTTGGGGGACTGCTCGCTCGCGCTGATCTGCTCTCGGGTCACTCCACAAGTATAGAAGTATCCCCGTCCCTCGGTAGCCCGCCCTCCTCGTCTTCGCTCATGCCCCCTCGCGGGGGTATATCGTCCCTAGCTGCCGCGTCAGTTCGCGCAGCCCCTGAAATAGGGGAGGTAGGGGAGGCGTGAGGAGACAAGGGGGAGGGAGAAGGATGGGGCACAAGAGAAGTTATAGTATTACCAGCCTGGAACATATCCCCATCCCTATGCTGGGCATCTCCCCATCACGATGCCAATCAAAGGGACTCCCTTGTTTTTTGGAGGGCGCATCCCTAAGATTGCCATCGCCTGTTGGCGTGTCAATCTCGGAGATAGGGATACGTTCTGACTACCTACCAGACCACCCCAACCCAACCCGAAGACCCGAATTTGACCCGAATTTCGGGTTGGGGGGGGTACGGATACCATGTGTTTTTTCAACGTTCCCCGACCCCCCCCCACTGGAAATCGAGGATAAGTTTGGGCCTTCGGGTTGGGTTGGGGTGGTTTGGTGGGTGGTGACGTTCGAGGCTGGTCATAGCAGGGTCGAGAGCCGCAGCACACGCGACAGAACCAGCCGGGGTGTCGGGCGGGCCGACCCTGCCAGGCATCATCGGGCGGGCGGGCCCGGACGGCCTGGTCGAGCAGGCGGGTCGCGGAAGCGTCGGCCAATCATGAAATGAAGGAAAATCGCGGGATAGCGCGATTTCCGATGAAACCGTGAGGAATCCAAAGAGAGGAGGTAATTTGAGAGTCTTTGGGGGCACGGCGCCGGAAAAAGATGTGAGGAAGTCTCACGCGAGAGCGCGATTTCATGATACAGTGTGAAGATGTCCCAGGCGGGAGCCGCTGTTGTTGCAAAGCGGGGGTCAGAGGCGCAGTGTGGTGACCATACACGTTCAAACCAATGAACTCGGAGGTCCTACCCCCCTGTAAAGCAGTTTGGGTCTTATTTGAAAAGTATGTCTCGGTCCGCACCATCGCGTGGAACGCGCCTGCATTGGCCTTGCACAGACTGCGCATTCCCTAATGGCTTCGGACGCGCGTGGAGCTTGCACCTACCTCCGCGCAATTCACTCAACGATTACGTCTTTGCTCCCTCCCAAGTTGAGCCCCCTGCCATTGTGGGCGTGCGCCCTCCCGCGGCGACGAAGTCCCCAGATCCCATGGCGACATCTAAGTGAAGACGGCCTTGCCCCCCGAAAAAAACTATCCCAAAATAAACAAAAGCACGACCGGTTCGTAGTCAACAGCACCACGTACATGTCTTCACATAAGTGAGTATTGAATACTCCTATACGAGAAGCGACGACTTCACACATATGCATTAGTTTGGGGAACTGTCGTTTGGTCATTCTCCCAACTCGTTTTTTCATTCAGAGGGAACCTTCGTCGACTATCCTCCGCGAAGCCCTGGAAGAGGAATACGCGCAGCGGCCGTCACCCTAGCCGACGCCCAACTTGGTCGAACTGCAACGACGACCACTCGCAACACCACTGAGGACGTGCGAAAGAACATCAAAAACCGAGCAGACAACAACACAAGCTGCACCGCATCCGAATCAAGAGACGTCCTGAAAATCAATGTGGATAGATACTGCTAAATGTTCGAAGGCGGGGGCTGGGTCTCAGATTCGACTGTTGACTTCCCCAGATCAAACAACAGGGTGCGAGAACCTGGAGAAGCTTTTTTAATTGACAAATGGGCTTTCGACACGAATCAACTTTTCGAAATGGGGAATGCGACAACAACATCAACATCAACACCAGCAACAACACCAAAACAAACAACAACCACGATAACAGCAACATTAACGTCAACAACAACAGCCACA